ACCTCTGAGAGCAATCTCACCTATTAACTTAGCTAGAACTATCGTACATCACTAAAATTACTTTCCAGGAAAGCAATTTTTTAAAAAAGATTTATCTATATGAATAGCACAGCAATAGAGAGGAAGAGATAGTGTGATCTTCATCACTCATTAACTTCCCAAATGACTGCACCAGCCAGGACTGGGGTCAGGCTAAAGCCAGAAGCCAGGGATTCAATTCAAGACTCCCACATAGGTAGCAGGGTCCCAAACCTGACCCAAGCACACTACCAGGAAGCTGGATCTAAACGGGAACAGCCAAGACTCCAACTGGCACTCTAATATGGGACGCTAACATGGAAAGCAGTGGCTCAATGCTCCATCAACTTCAAAGAAAGCAATTTAAGATTCATACCAGTCTCATCAGCTCATTCCTAATACAGTATACAACAACTGGCACAGCAGTTAAGTCTCTGCTTGGGATACAAAGTGCCTGGGTTTGATAACCCAGTTCCATTTTCTTTTTTTAAATATGTATTTTTATCGGAAAGTCAGTTTTACAGGAGGAGAGACAGAAGAATGATTTTCCATCTGCTGGTTTACTTCTCAAGTGACCACAACAGCAGAGCTGAGATGATCTGAAGCTAGGAGCCAGGAGCTCTTCCAGGTCTCCCACACGGGTGTAGGGTCCCAAGGCTTTGGGCTGTCTTTTCCCAGGCCACAAGCAGGGAGCTAGATGGGAAGTGGAGCAGCTGGGACAGAAATTGGTGCCCATGTGAGATCCTGGTGCATGCAAGGCAAGAACTTTAATTGCTAGATTACTTATTGCAATGGGTTCACAGCTTCATTTCAATTCCAGCTCCTGCTCATGTGCACCACAGGGGTCAGTGAATGATGGCCCAACTAGTTGGATCCTTGCTACCCACATGGCAGGCCCAGACTGAGTTCCAGGCTTAGCACTGGCCAGCGGGTATTTGACAAGTCAACCAACAGATGAGAAACCTGCCTGCTCTTCTGCCTTTCTAATAAATGGAGGGGGTGGGGCTGAGGCAAAAAAATTGTTTCAAAAACATATGAATACATTTATAAACACCAGATTGCTAACACAAAATTAAGTAAAATCAAGATAATATTCTGACAGAAAAGATAATTACGCTTTTCTGTCATGCTCATTTATTCAGCGTTTGAAACATCTGTGACATTAAACACTCCGCTGGTAGTAGCATGATAAACAGGTAGGCACTTGTGAAATTCTTAAATTCTTTGGAAAATCTGAAAAGAAAAAAATCTGGGAACAGAACATTAACCTAGTGACTAAAGTCCTTGCTTGCATGTGTCGGGATCCCATTTGGCTGCCTGTTCGTATCCCGGTACGTGCAGTATTTATGGTTAAAAAGGCCAAAAATTATGGCTTCTCCACCCCCCCCCCATTTTTGGTCTATCAAGTTGCTGTTTATTTATTTTTTTGCCTGTTTGGTCTGTGTGTAAAACAATGTTGACAACAATAAACCAAAATTTTATTTTGATGAGTTGTTCTTTAAAAAAAAAAATCTGTGGATCAGTGTTATGCCTGTAATGCCAGCATCCCACATGGGTCCAGGTAGAATCCTAGCTGTTCTGCTTTCAGTTCAGCTCCCTCCTTATGTTCCTGCAAAATCAGTGAAGGGCTGCCCAAATCCTTAGACCCCGGCACCTACGTGGGAGTCAGGTGAAGTTCCTGGCTCGGGCTCCTGGTGTAGCCTCAGCCTTTATGGACATCTGGGGGATGACCAGTGGATTACAGAGCTCTCAAGTACTCGCTCTCCCACTCTGTAAACTGTTTTACTTACTTAAGTAAATACATTTTTAAAAATCTTTGCCAAAAAAGGAGAAAATTTACAATGCTGCCAAAATTCAGTGTTAAACATGGATGTTATCCACACTCTTGAGAGAGACATAAAAATACAATTATGTATCAATCCACAAAAAACAAATACTAAGTGGGAAAATCTCTGCTAATACTCTTAACATTGTAGGCAAAAATCATCTCTATGTTCTTACATAATGATAAATTTATCTCACTGCCTTCAGAAATCTACCTACACCATTCTAGGCCCATGGTATTTCATTTAGTAATTCCCAGAAAAAAAAAATTACACTTTGGAAGTCTTAAGGAAATTTAGAGAGATCATCTGGTCCAATTTTCTGATTTTCACATCCAGAAACAAGATACTAGAGAGCTGAAATGAGAGGTCCAAGGTTACATGTAACATTTTTTGTACCTTCACTATGGAAACAAGCTTATTCACATATACTATGGCTTACTGAATTTAATCCCCATTGCAGGTCCTAATAAAATTGTTTTATTATGAATAAACCTTAAGCTAAAGTGTGCATACAACTAACAGTAGTTTAAATATGCTTCACCCTTTAAAAACAAATAAACAACAGCAACAACAACAAAAACGAGTTATTGGCCTGGCGCGCTAACTTAGTGGTTAAAGTCCTTGCCTTGAAAGCTCCAGAATCCCAAATGGGCACCTGTTCTAATCCCAGCAGCCCTGCTTCCCATCCAGCTCCCTGCTTGCGGCCTGGGAAAGCAGGCAAGGATGGCCCAATGTTTTGGGACTCTGCACGTGCACGGGAGACCTGGAAGAGGCTCCTTGTTTCAGACTGGCTCAGCTCCAGCTGTTGCGCTCACTTGGGGAGTGAACTATCGGAAGGAAGATCTTCCTCTCCGACTCTCCTCCTCTCTGTATATCTGCCTTTCCAATAAAAATAAATAAATCTTAAAAATAAATAAATAGTTAAGAAATTTCTTAGGATTTTAAACAATCATTTCCATAGCAAAGATTGATGTTCCCATTTATAATTATTATAGAGTTAAATTTCAAGGTGAAGTTTGCGATCATTTTAAGCCACCACTTTAAAACAAAGCTCAAAGGGCTTGGCGCGGTGGCACAGTGGTTAAGGTCCTCGCCTTGAACGCCCGGGATCCCATATGGGCGCCAGTTCTAATCCCGGTGGCCCCGCTTCCCATCCAGCTCCCTGCCTGTGGCCTGGGAAAGCAGTCAAGGACGGCCCAAAGCTTTGGGACCCTGCACCCATGTGGGAAACCCGGAAGAGGCTCCTGGCTTCGGATCGGCATAGCATCGGCTGCTGCGCTCACTTGGGGAGTAAACCATCGGACGGAAGATCTTCCTCTCTGTCTCTCCTCTCTGTATATCTGCCTTTCCAATAAAAATAAAATAAATCTTTAAAAAAAAAAACCCAAAGCTCAAAAGTTTTCCTGTCTTACACCAAAAGTACAAAGTCCCAGTTATAGCATTTTCCTGAGTATTTATAAACCTCCTTGAGAAAATTACAAAAGGGCAAGTTTCATGCCACAGACACACAAGCCACTGAATTCTTTTTTTATTTTATTTTTTTTATTCTTTTATCAAGCCACTGAATTCTTACGGTGATGACATAAGAATTAGACTTGCAGACTCATTGACATAAACAAATTCAAAGTTGAAGTTCAGTGCTCAAACTGAAAACAAACAAAAAGCATATATTATCACAATTTAACAAAAAGATGTGTGCAACAAACTCTTCAGGTGACTTAACTTACAGATTCTTACTACCAATGTCAACACACCCAATCAGAATGGAATACTAAAAATAGACAATGCCATAATTTTGCTGAGATAATCAACGTGAAAAGGTGCAAGAACACAAAAATCAACATATATTTCCCGAAAGGGGAAGCAACTACTGAACAACTACAGACGTGATGTTGACCAAAGTATCAAAAGAACAAAGACCTTTTGATACTTTTGAAACAGGTTACCCTCACCACAAGACCACAACACGCGTACAAGACCAGGCATTCCAAAAGTCAAGATACAAAAAATGCTACTTCCCTCACAGAACTAGTTAACTGTCACCAAAAGCTGACTTCATGCATTTTTTTTTTCTCCTAAACAAATTGAGCATCTCTTTTGGAAGCCCACAGCTAATGACAGCTGGAAGTTAGGCTATCATTCTACACATAAACCAAGTGAAGCTTAGTACAGGTGCCTGAGCCACAACACCCAAACTGTCCAACTGCAGCCCTTTACACACGTGCGCACTGACAGCCCAGCCTGAAGAAGCAGCCGCAGCGATTCAAGGGCACATCACTCCAGCAGGGTCCCAGACCAGAGCCGGCAAGACAGGACGGCGTTGACAATTAGAAAGCCGTCAAAGTCATGTACAACGAACCACTTACAAGTAAGCATGGAACTTGCTGCAGAAATCATCGCACCCTAAATCTGCTAAAATTTTAAAGGGAGCGGAGGTGCTAAAGTGAACTTGACGGTGCAACCTCAAAACTTAACAAAATGCTCTCTTCCACTGCCTTCGTCATCAAGTAGCTTGCTGGTCAGCCTTCTTTACCAAATTGCAATGCACATAGACACAGGCATATGTTATATATGTGTTTCCCATTTCCGGTTTTTGCCCCGGACTCACACATTCCCCAATGAGTCTACCACGATGTGGTAGACTCACACTGTGCACTGCACCTTAAGAGTGACCGCTATTCCAAAAAACGACGTACCGCACAGAATGCACTCTCAGGGGAAGAAGTAAAAATCAATGCACCAGTGGTGCTTTTTATAATGTTCCCTCCACCAAAAATAAAAGCCTGGGTAGTCTCCTTGCAAGACAAGACTTCCGACGCTGCCCCTTAAGAAGACTCAAGCCAGGCCAAATCAGCACACTGAGCATACGGAGCTTCCTCCTGCCAAGTATCTCCTCCTAAAGGCCTCGCGCGGCTCACAGCTCCGGGACACCGGAGAACTTCACGAGAGGCGAGGGTTCAGGACCTGGTTATGGGGGGGTTGAGAAAACGCCTCGCAGAGTGGCCTGGAGTATGCACGACAGTTGCCGTCCTGGTCGGAGCATGAGAAAAAGCCTCTTCCCAGGGATTCAGGATCTAGGTCCGCCACTCTCTACCACCCCAACCTGACAGCAAGCCGAGGGTGTACCCCCTCTTCCCCGGCAAGCCCCCCACCTACCTCACGATGTGGAAGCATCCACCACCCACCCAGCTCCCCGGGGCTCAGGCCGCCACCGCCGCCATGTTACAGCTGGTGCGGCAGAATGCGTCAGGGAGGGCGGGGGCTGGGAGAGCAGCGACGTTGCCCCGGCCGGCCAGGCTCGGCTGCAGGCCCCGTCCGGCCGCTCCGGCAGCCGGGCCAGCGACGCGGCGTCCCGAGCAGGCCCCTTCCGCACCCAAACAGCCCGCACACCTCGAGGCAAAGACGGTTAAGTCGGCCGGCCTCCCGCGCCGGCTCCGCCCCTCTTCCTCCAGCCCTTCCCGCTTTAGGACCCGGGGCTGCAGCAAATGACGCCCACACAAACCACACGGGCTGCGCGCTATTTTACCTGCACCGGGGGTTTCCTTTTCCCGGGACGGGTCCTTAAAAGCGCTTCAAATCTACCGCCGCCAGAAAAGGCGCTAAAGCCCACTAACCGCCTCCCTCCCCCCACAGCCCAGCCCCGGCGTGGAGGGGAAGCGTCGCGCAGGAAGCGCGTCAAGATGGTATGACGACATCTGCTGACGTCCCTGTGTGGGCGTCGCCACTTCCTTCCAAGAGAAAAGAAGATTTGGGACGTTTTAGCTGCCTGGTTTCAATGTAATTTTATCCTTTCTAAATGAGTTGACAGAGAATGGTTTTAACCCTCCGAATGCCATATTGTTCGGAAACAAAGTGCTTCATTTAATAAATATTTCCTAAAGCTGTCAGGCCCCTGGGAAGGGAAACCTACCTTCAGGGAGCTTCCAGTTCAGTTTTTAAAAGGACTAGAAGAGAAATTCTAGATTGTAACAGACAAAATGTAATTATTAATGTTGTGTTTGATGATGGAGGTTATTATGCCTGCTTTACAGATGGATTCACTCAGGAAAAGTCCCGCTCCTTCATACTCACTTTCTGCTAAACAGTGTTTTAAAATTGCAAATCCCGTGCAGCTTAGGGGAACTATACGTCATCATTCAGTTATTTTGATGGGTAAGTATGCTTAGCTTCTCTTGGAATTCATCACGACTACTTTGAGAGGAGCAGCTATCCTGAAAGAAGTTAGGTTTTTGTTCTTTCGTTTTTGGGGTTTTTTTTTAATACATATATATTGAGGATTGTGATTTCTGTTTAAATATTTATTTCCATCTACTTGAAAGCAAGCGCATGCGAGAAAGCTTCCATCCGCTGGTTCAGTCTCCAAATGCCTTCAGTTGCCAGGGTTGGGCTTGCAGCAAGCCAGGACCATGGAATGCCATCCTTTTCTCCCAAGAGTCCAAGTATTTAAACCATCCTCTGCTGGTTCATGGGCAGCGAGTTGGGAGAACTGGAACTAACATTTTAATATGGGATGCTGGCATCCCAAGTAGCAGTTTAACCAGCTGTGGGGCAATGGTCTTCCCCCTGTAGGGAATACCTAAGGGGCTTAAATGGTTATCATATGAAAGAATCTAGGCTCTGAGGGGGCTGCAGCCCCTTATTTGCAACACCCACTGCGCAGGTGTTCCATTTTGGATCCAGCTTCCTGCTGATGCTCCTGGAAGGCAACCAATGATGGACCCAGCACTTGATCTGCTGGTACTCACTCAGGAGACTCAACTTGAGGTCCTGGCTCCTAACTTTGGCCTGGCTCAAACTTTGTTGGTATTTCCAGGAGTGAATCAAAGAATGGAAGAACTTTATACCACCTGCTCTACAAACACACAGAATATAAGTGTCTCATCCTGTCAGGTAAACTAATTTAAAAAGCGTGTGAGCATGCGGTGAATGTGAGGGCTATGAAGAATTTAATGTAGCAATGAAACTGAATAGCACAGTCATCTTTGGGCAGTCCAGAGGTATTGTAAATTTACATTGCAGTGGCAAGAGTAATTCTGCAATACCGTTGTTGTCAAGCAACACCCCAAATTAGTTGGAGATGTTGCTATAGAAGCTTGCAACTTGAGTCAGCTCACCTGATGTGCAGAAAACCATTGAGGTAGAGGAAAAATGGTATTGCAAAGTGGACAGCCAGAATCCAGGCAGCAATTGCTTACTAAGGAGTGCTTGATCAACTTGTGCCCAAGTTCCTAGTTGTTAGCAATGCTGTGCTTTTTTGGAAATTCATGATGGCCAAGAGGGTACCATTGTTCTGGGGTAAAGGAGGTTCTGTGTAAGTTCCCCAGGCCTGGAATTTCTCTGGCTGCACTTGAAATGCATTGACCATCAACGTTTTAACTATCAGAGAAGCAAATGACTTCATGAGTTCCATGATTAGATGCCTATGGGACCAGCTGTGCAGCTCTCTCAGATCAGTGAATTCCTCTGATAAAGAGCAGGCAAAGACACCTTAGAATCAGGGTGGCAAATGTGAGGCTGGGTCCTGCTTTTACAATACAAGGGTTTGGTTTTATTGGGTACTTTTCCGAAAGGTTTTTTTTTTTTTTTAAGGTGAATTTCTGTGAGCATTGGTTTCTTTTTGTTTCTTGCACATCTACCTGCAGAAACTTTTTCTGTAATGACACGCAGATTAATTTCCTGGGATTTAACTTATACTAAAGGCTGTGTGTACGAGGAATTGCTATTATATTGGTATATTTTCCCCTTTTATATATATGGATTCACTTTTGAGGATATACTATATATCATTACTACTATAATTAACATTTTGGGGTATGTTAAAATAATTGATAATAATTAACAGTGAAATAATAATTTATTCATTTTATTTATTTTTTAAGATTTACTTAATTTTATTGGAAAGTCAGATATACAGAGGAGGAGAGTCAGAGAGGAAGATCCTCTATCTGATGATTCACTCCCCAGGCAGCTATAATGGCCGGAGCTGAGCCAATCTGAAGCCACGAGCCTGGAGCTACTTCTGGGTCTCACATGCAGGTGCAGGGTACCAAGGCTTTGGGCTGTCCTCAACTGCTTTCCCAGGCCACAAACAGGGAGCTAGATGGGAAGTGGGGCTGCCGGGATTAGAACCAGCGCCCATATGGGATCCTGGTGTGCTCAAGGTGAGGACTTTAGCTGCTAGGCCACCGTGCATTTTAAAAAATATTTATTTATTAATTTATTTTATTTTTATTTGAAAGGCACATTTACAGAGAGAGGCAGAGACAGAGAAAAGGTCTTCCATTTTCTAGTTCATTCCCCAAATGGCCGCAACAGCTGCATCTGAGCCAAATTGAATCCAGGAGCCAGAAGCTTCTTGGTCTCCCATGTGGATACAGGATAGGTAGGACTTGAATCATCTTCTACTGCTTTCCCAGGATGTAAGCAGGGAGCTAGATGGGAATGGAGCAGCCATATGGGATGCTACACACGCTGAAAGGTGGAGGATTAGCAAATGGAGTCATTGTGCCAGCCCATAGTAAACATTGATAAAAGGATTTATTTATTTATTTTGGAAGAGTTCTAGGGAGGAGACATGGAGAGAGATCTTTGATTAGCTGGTTCACTCCTCAGATGCCAGCAGTGCCAGTGCTGTGGGCCAGGCAGAGCCAGGAGCCAGCAGCTGCATCTGGATTTCCCAAGTGGGTGATAGGGACTCCAACACTTGGAGGCCATGTTCTGCTTGTTTTCCCAAACCATCAGCACGGAACTGCATTGGAAGTAGAGCAGCCAGCACAGGAACCCCTTCCTTTTGTGATGAGGGTCTTGCAGACAGTGGCCTTACTCACTGTGCTATAATTTTGGTGCAGATCCATGCTAGTTTTAGTATAAATTTTAAATGGTCAGAGTTTAGGAGACTCTTGGAAGAAGTTTTACATTTTTTAAGTATTTAATTTTCTTATTTGACAGAGAGAAAGGGACAGATAATTCTTTCGTTTGAAGGGTCACTTCCTAAATGACATCTATACCTAAAATTGGACCAGGTAGAAGTGAGGAGCCAGCACCTCCACCCTGGTCTCTCTTCTGGTTAACAGGGATCCATGTATCTGAGTGAACTTCCTATATATACCTCCTATGGTACACATTAGCAGAAAGCTGAATCAAAAGCTGACTGGAAATTGAACCCAAGCACTCAGGCAGGCATCCAGGCAGTGTCATGAATTGCTGTGACACACAACATCAGCTGCCCTCAGAAATTGCACTTTTTTTTTGGTTAGCATTAATTTGACTTAATTGCAAGCCAGAGCGATAGGCAAAAGAGCTCTGTCATCCACTGGTTCACTCCCTAAACTGCCAAAAAACTGTCAGGGCTGCTCCAAGCTAAATCTAGGAACAGGAACTCCATCGGGATCTCCCACAGAGGCAGCAGAGACCCATGTACTTGGATTATCTGCTGCTACCTTCCCAGTGTCAGCAGTAGAGAGCTGGACTGGAAATGGGGCTGTTGTTACAAGAACTGGCATCCTGATGGGATGCTGATGGTGTTGTGGTTTTAGGCATCTAGCTCAAGGTCATTCAAGGTCACAAGCTTGGAAGCCATGCCTCCCTTACCCACATAATCCTTTCTGCCCACCTAGTGAGTCAAATGATGCTCATCTTTGATCACCTGGAACCTGACAGGTGGCAGTATCACATTGTTGCATCAGGACTCTCCTCCCAAGCTCCCATAAAGGCAGATGATTGGGAGGGGCTCTCTCTTGGTGGAGTGTTCCCATCACTTTTGTATTCTGATACCTGGCCTTCCCAGTGCCTTCTTGCTCTCTGGCTTCCTATGGACAGATTCTAAGCACAGGTTGCTCTTTGTCCTGGCCCCTGTCTGTATTCCTCAACCTCTGTCGACTACTTGGATAAGTCAGTGAAGATGGGAATGCTAAGACACTTTGTATTTCTACTTTGTGTACTTTCGAGAGTTCCATGAGAGCTGAGGCCTGGCAGTAATGAAATAAGGACAGAGAAACTAGGAAAAGCTGAATGTCTGCAGCTTTGTAAATGTGCCCAGGGTGATTGCTGCATGTCTCTTAGGGTAACTTACATTGCTGGCGAAGCTGGAACATAGGTCTTCATTCTAACAGAAAGACTTGATGGTGATGATCATTTGTTCCTCTCAGGGTTTTGATTCAGACTGGATTGCCATGTGAACTTCTCATTTGCTAAATTCTAGTGGACACTGCCATCACTAATCTTGGTTCATAAGGACTCCTTAATATATGCTAGACTTATCTGGAATGATCTGTCTTGCACCCAACCAGTGTCACAAGTGTTAGCTTAATCCGTTGTACTACAATGCCAGCTCCAGAATCACACACTTTTTAAAAAAGATTTATTTATTTTTATTGGAAAGGCAGATATACAGAGAGGAGGAGAGACAAAGAGGAAGAT